TAATGTAATGCATATGTCAATGAATAAATGTTTTTATTAAGCATCTTTCTTAGTATAAGTTATACTATATCGATCTGTCCCATGCATGTCTCAACAGTGCTGTTTACTGATATTTCTGTAGCTGCCTAGGAACAAATGTCAGGTTAAATAATTCTAATTCATATTACACACTGCATGCCCCTCCACCCCCTGAAAAAAAAAACCAACCCACGAGTACCACAGAAGGTGGTGCATAGAAGTACTTTCATAGAGTGCTACCCTATATGAACACTATAAATCATTAAGGACTAGATTGTGAACAGTCTTGCCTAGTGTTGAGGACACTGGGGGAGAGCAGGAGCCAAGCCTCAGGCCAAATCAAGGATCAGGAATGAGAGACTAAGTTACCAGATCCAAAGGGAAATCCTGAGACAGGGGCTGAGACAAGGTCCAGGAAACAGAAGCCAGTGTTGAAGTCAGGATGAGCTGGGAGTCAGAGCCCGAGTCAGGGCATGTCAGGAGATCAGGGCTGAAGTTAGGATGAACAAAGAGTCAGAGATCAAGTTAACAGATCCAAGAAGACTAGCCATTGAACAGAGTCAAAGACCCAGGAGTACAGGATTCAGAGAAGCTTACCACAACAGACTTTCAAAAGAAGTGTTGCATGGTTTACAGGCCACTGCCATAGGTGAAACTATACGGGGAGGCTGCTCTCTTCAGCAGCCAATCAGGACAACCTAACAGTGGCTAGCTGCATCATCATCATGGGTAGGGCTGCCTGACAGTGTGAAGCAGGTGGGACAACTAGCTAATTAGCTCCATCTGGGCTGTCAGGGCCCCTGACGAATAGTAAAAATATTTTTTCTCTTGTCTGCAATAAACCACCTTGTTACACAACTGTGATCAAGTCCAGAACTGTTATTGTCTTCCTTTTAATATATTTTTTACTTCCTTCTTTGAGATTTAACTTGAAAGAATAAGATAGGGAAGGGAAGGGGGATGGTCTAATTTTCCAGGAGTTTTGAGCCAAGATCTAAGTGATCAGGGTTTTTTTTCAGTTGTAATGAAACACAAAGAGTTTATTGCTGCATTTCTTCACATACCACATTCCCCAAAATAAGATATGCATTGAATTCTGCAATGGCAGAATGAAATTTAAAAAAAATCCTTTTTACTAAACCGCTCAGAATCAATTTCCTAGTATAAGACAAGCAGCCTCATTTCCAATGGCTAATTTTTGAGGTGAATGCAGTATGTTAATAAATAAGGTATTTAAAATACAGAGACAGAAGGAACCAGCAGGCTGAGCAAATATCCATGAGTTAGGTTGCTCCTCTGATTTGCTGAGATTCTGGATTTAATAAATAAAATCAGAAAGAAAAGTGAATATATTGAGTCTATTGAGTCTATACCCTTCCCCAGTAAGATAAAGGTTGAACCAAACTTAGCCCAAGATATTGCTTAGGATGGGATGCAAATAATACATATAGCATTAATATTGAAGGAGGTTCTGGAATTGGTTAGGTTTTGAATTACTAGTATTAAACTACCAGCCAAAGAAGGTGAAGAACTAACCAAAGTCAGGCATGTGGAATATCACATGCTTCCCAGCTTATGATTTCTATGAAAGTTAAGTGTTCTTGGTGTGAGGGTTTTTGGTGTGCTGGCTATGGGCTGAGTTTCCATGTTCAATTAAGTCAACTTTTGTTACACACCTGTCAATCTGCAGTTCCATGGACATTCCAGCCATGATAATATGCTTAAATAGCCAATGCCTCTCTTGGATCCTACTACTACATTCAATGAATATAACCTTGATCCTTCTAACACTTGATCATGCAGATGCAATGTTCTACAAAGGGATGCTCTCAGGTTTGTTTAGATGGAAGCTTCAGCAAGAAATTGAACCCTTTACCTGTGAAGAACAATGAGAGTACCTGGAGTTGAGCCTAAAGGGTATCACTGTTTTCTGGATGCTCCATGCTACCTCAAGCATAAGCCATGAGCTGGGTTTGGAGTTGATAGCCTTGCACTAGCTGGGAAAGGAGAGCCACTGGAAATGGCACACACACATTTCTCTCTCTGCACAGAGCTTACATCTAAGAAAAGAAAGGTAAAAAAATGTATGAATTTGCATAATCCAGGAGATATGTATATTTACACTTCATAAAATGAGAATGGCAAGAAAACTGTAATGCAATGGGGAAAGGTGCTGGAATATATTGTTAAATAGGTTTGTGTGTAAAGGGGATGTTAATTTAAAGGTATAATGGGATCTGATCTGCAGTCCCAACAATTCTGCTTCCTGCCACACCACACATGCATGGCAAGCTGCACAATTTGGGGATCAGGGATTAGATCCTAATTACATCCTATTTTCCAGTGCATGGGGAACCTGGGATCATGCCCACATGGACAATCAGCTGCTTGTCAAAACCACACATATGGCAGCTCCAGCTGGGCTGCCAGGTATGCAGGGTTAGAGGCTCTGGGTGCAGGTAGCTGAAGGGCATCACTTGCTGGGGATGTTAAGCCCCACAGGCTTTTTATAGGTCCTGGTACATGGGGGCCCACTGATTATGCAGTCTCCATGTACTCTGATTAATAAAAAGCCATGAGAATAGCCCAGCTAGACTACAGGTGTGGTTTTTAGTGGTCCTAGTACATGGGGACCCCAGGACTGGATATCCTAAGTGTTCCCCCTGCCACATGCCCTCCCCTCACCGTATGATCCACCTCAAGCTGCCTTGGCCAGCAAGCAGTGGTGATGACAGCTTTGGCCTTGGCATTGGCTTGAGTCTGAGTCTACATAGGGGCTGCAGCTACAACCACCATTGCTACTTGCCCTGAGTCACTACTCAAATCCAAGATGAGGCATTTTCCCTCCCCCCACTACTGTGACATGATCCTGTTTTCTACCACAGTGCTTTAACCATCAGGCCAGAGATTAGGTGTTAATTAGTCCCATCTCCAGCCCTCATACTAAAGCTGAGCAACTGTGCCTTGCATTTTATAGTCTCGCCTTGGAAATGACTTGAGTTTTGCCTGTCAGCAGCCAGAGGTGCAGGGCCCCAGAACCCCTGCACCAGTCTCCTCAACAGCTGGCAGTCTTCGTGGCCTCAGTAGGGGCTACCATCCCTGCAGCTTTCACCCTGCTGTGCCGTAACACACACAGTGCCACCCATGTCACGAGTTTTGCTTGTCTGCAGCTTGAGGTACAGTTTCCCCCAAACCCCTGCACCGATCTTCTTGAAACTTGCCAGGCTTTGTGGCCTCTGCAAGAGCTACCATCTCGACAGCTTTCACTCCCCTGTGGCTTAGCACACACACGTGACATGAGTTTTGCTTTTCGAAATTTGAGGTGTAGTTTCCCCAAACCCCCTGCACCTATCATCTTGAAATTTGGCATGTGACATCCTTTTAGACCTGGCTATAATTAGTGCAAGTTTAATTTGAATCAGCCGAAAGACAACAAAGTTATAGATATTTCATTGATTCCCTATTATATTCTATGGCCGAATCTCCGAATGTTTTCTGAATTGATTCAGAAGCTCCAAATCGATTTGGAAAGCCTGAAGCTTCCAGAAATTCTATTTGGATTCATAGATTCAGCCTCCAAATCATCTGAATTATCTCCAAATCCAAATCATGATCCAAAGCTTTGCACAGCCCTATCCAGCATGTTACTATGATCTATGTTTAGATGGCAGTATGCATGGATATGTGATTGCTCAGAAAACTTTCTAAAATAATTTGTATAACATGCGCACAGTTTAACATGCAACTAGGCTCTACAGTCCAATAATCTGCAACTATTGCAAGAGAGCCTGTGATAAGGCATTGATATACCTTTTAGATTCTATTCCCTCCTGTGGTGAAATAGAATAATTCAGGTACACATTTCATTTCCTAAAATAAAATAGGGGAGGAAGACCTTTCTACATTTTTGCCAATAGCACAGCAGTTAGGGCACTTGGCCAGGGAATAGGAACCACAGTTTCATTTCCTTGCTCTCATTGAGAAGAAGTTGGAATCCACATTTCACACTTTCTAATAAAGTGCTGTAACACCAAGGTCATGGTGCCCAGAGTATCATCTTCTTAGATCTGGTCTACTGATTAGCCAAGAGGGAAAGCTCAGGAGACAGTAACCCTCCCTTCCCTCCCCTCCCTATGGCTTTCAGCTTACCCCAGTGTAGCAAAACACATTGCTTTTGAAATCATGATGCACAGAGCAATGGGACTACCAAAGAATTTGTTATCACAAACTAGGAGTATAAATATAGAAAGGAGTAAAACTAATGGTATTTTTTTGGAAAGTAGGAGTGCAAAAATCTAGAACGCTTGATTCCAAAATGATACCTTTTGTTAGACCAACTGAAAAATTGCAACAACAAAAAAATCTTTTTTTTCTGCAAGCTTTGGGGCTCATGCACTCTTCATGAGGCTCAGATGAAGATGATAGTATCTAAATGCTATCTAGCTGTTTGGTGCATCAATGGAAAAAAACACTTCTTACATAGGAGAGAGAACCATTGATATCTGTAATGAATCATGTAAAATCTTATAGTGTGTGTTTTGCCATATTGTAACACCACATTTATGTCAAGCTCCTTTGAACAACATTTTTCAGAACGTCTGTTTGCTAAAATGATAAAGTGCCTAATTGAGCAACTGTTATACGTAAATATGTTCAGTTTATGAAGCAAGGAGAAAAGTATGTTATGGACCCATGAATACCAATCATGCCAGCAATCCCCAGGCAATGCATTCTTTAAAGAGAAACTCCCTTCTTTGTCACTAAAATATCTTGTCCAGGGTGATGCAACTTGCTTCACTGACACATCCTACAAACCACCAAAGAACTAGTTTGAACCAGCTCTCCACAATTCAGAGGACAGAAAAAGGTGCCTAACATTTTCAATCCTTTGCTTAGCACCACTTGCTCTAGAAAAGTTGAACCCTCAAACACTTACTTTGGGAACAAAACTTGGAAACCATACTTTGAGTTTGTCACCTCTGTGCTCTGTGACTTCAGAAGGAAAGTGGGAAGACAACTAGGTGAGAAACATTGCTTGTACTTTCATATATTCTTTATAAAATCATGAAGATGGTCCAGCAGATACACTGAGATTATATATTTTGTTAATTACCATTACTTCCCATATGATATAGTCAAAAACTGTTTAGATGAATGGATTTCTTTTTATGGCCTTCAGTGGTCTTTGAATCAGACTTCAAACCAGAAATTTATTTCCACTACCGAGTTACTTAATATTACCTTTCTATTCTGTATCTCACTCCATTTGTGGCTTTAGAAGGCAGAGCTTCATTGTGATTGCTCTCAATAAAGTCAGCTGGCATTCTAGTTGGGAAGCTCACAGGTAAGGTAAAATACAACAGAATAAGACTATGGCTTTAAAGTTACCAAATGGGTTTCATAAATATATCTCCAGTTATATTTGAAAAATAGGTGCTACAAATTTGACAGTGTCCAGAGGACAGCTACAAGAATGATAAGATCTTTAGAAAACATGACCTAGAAGGAAAAGGTGAAGGAACTGAGTTTGTTTATCCTAGGGTGAAAGAAAAATCTGAGGAGAAAAGTGATTCAAGTTTTCCCACGCATAAAAGGTTCTCATAAAGAAGACTATCACTGCTTCTCCATAGACACTGGGGAAAGGACAAGAAGAAATCAGCTAAATTTACAACAGAGCTGATTTAGTTCATATATTAGCAGAAACTAACCCAGAGCAAAAAGGTCACCTAGAGATATTGTAGAATCCCTCTCACTGAGTTTTTTAAAGAAGAATTTAGAAAAAAAAATCTGTCAGGCATGGTTCAGGTATACTGGAGTCAGACCCAGAACAATGGCCTAGATTGTTTTTAAAATTCAGAGCATCCTGACATCTAAATTGGGAAGGGTTTTCAGCTTTTTAATCAGCTTATAAAACATCAGCATTATTAATATGGACATATAGGATTATAACAGTTGATGGTTTAAAAATGTGGGGGTTTTGGTCATAGATGTGTTGGTCTAAGGACATAGGCAGGTAAGGTTCTTTAGGTAGGCGTGTTATATTTTATTAGACCAACTGAGTAGTTGGGAAAAAGTTCTTTGCAAGCTTTTGGGTGCAATCACCTTTTGTCAGGCATAGGACGTTTATGGTGTTCTGAGACTCCAAGGAAAAGAGCAGAGACTTCCTATGCCTGAAAAAGGGTGATTGCACCCAAAACCTTGCAATGAACTTTTTTCCAACTACTCAGTTAGTCTAATAAAAGATAGCACATCTGCCCAAAGAACCTTGCCTCGCCTAAACATGCAGATTAATGTGTATTACATGTGTGAACATTGTAATTATCAAGCAGAGTCCGATGCGTAAGCCAGAACATAATAGTGCAGGCTGATCAGCTGCATGGACATTTTTTAGTTCCTATGCTCAGTATTCATTTTTCTATTTTCATATAAAAGGTGAGAAGAATAAACCCAGGAGACGTGGTGTGTTGTCATTAAGAACTCCACAAAGCAGAGACAAGCTGAACTATGAGCACAGTGGTAGGCTCTTCTTTTCGTTGATTCTAACCTGATTGCCCTGTGTGAGCTGGGAATACTTCTCATCTCTGCCGTTCTTTCCGTAAATATTTTTCAGAAAAGGAAACTTTACTTTATGGTAGACATTTATGACTACATCTGGGAGAACGTTGGGGATGAAAACTGTATATTTATGTCTATCAAATAATTGGTAAACAAATGCTAATTGTCTAAAATTGTTTCAGGTAGAGGAAAAAAAATCTTCAACTTCCTGAATGAAATGTTTTTTGCTTTTGTTTTGATTTGTTTGTTTGAATTGTACTACCTACTAAATGGTTTTAAGTTTAAGCAAAAAAAAAAAAAAAAAGGAGAGTGTTTTATTCAAGTGTTCCCTTTCAGATTAGGGGGAAAAAAATCAGTCTGTGGTGGCTTGTTGGCATTTTTTTTAATCATAAAAAAATAATTTCAGGTAACCGATTTTTTTTTTTTTAGCTTGCTAATTGGTTTTGGGCAGAAAGCATAAAAATCACCCATACGCATAGTTTTATTTCTTCTATACTCAGGCCTTCATGATATTCTTCCTAAGCACTAATCATACTCTCCATTCTAAACTGTAAGAGACTCCTGGCTGCTAATTAGTTCCCAGAATAGCTTACGCTACGGATCTCTGTAACCATACAACCATATTATCTAGCATATGCAGGGTGGTCTTTGAGCAGCTGGAAAACTCTTATGACTTCTGCTTTTTTTTCTGGCATTTCTATGAATTGTTATAAGAAGTCAGCAGCTATATGTTTTGCACAGTACTAATATAGGAAGTTGCAGAAATGAAAAACAGTTTGTATTCTCTCTTTTACTCCCTCTCATTTAGACTACTTAGCTGCCTTTTTTTTTGTCAGTGTTTTCATGAACAAGGCATGGGATCAATTTTCATCTGAAAAGAATTTTTGTTAATGCCTCACTCTCTCTGAAGTCTGATTCCAGATTTAAGTGAAGTCTCAGACATAAGGGGTGCGTCCAGACAAGCCCACACATACCTCTTATAGCATCTCAAACTCCTTTGAGATGCTCCAAGGGGCATATGCAGTAACGAGAAAATGTTCCCCAAGCTGTAAATTTGACCCCTGAGCCCCCCCCCGATCCTAGCCCCAACCCTCGCCTGCCCTCTGAGACCC